ATAGTATAGGCTCCCATGTTGTGGTGAAGTTTCGAATAGATAATCAAGTCCTTAAATATTAATTTGAATTAAATTGAAATTATTTATTTTGTACTTAATTTCGTACTGAAATCCCATAACCTAAATTTACACAATGACATATTTCACACTTAAAAACCTATATCCAACCATAGTAACATACAAATAAACTTCAATGATTTCATAAAAACTATCTAATGAAAAAAAACCTCTTATTTCTCAAATGTCTTCTTTAACTTTGTAAAAAAAATGGTGTTACTTTACTATATAATGCGTAAATATTCCAGTTTTTTTTCAAAATTAAGTATGGAGGATTTATTAATAATAAATATCAAAAATTGCTTACCCAAGTACCAACTGAATCCAACTGCCAAGCAACTRCCCCCGAAGTCAAAAGCTTAACTGCAGGGAATCCAGTGGTCCACCGAAATTACTTTAAATTACAGCCTTGATCGACGTAGAATCATATAGCATAGATTCTGTATGGTAAAAGATCAAAGCATATAGTTTCTAATGTAATAGGTGTCATAAAAGAAACCACATCATTACATAAAACTATTATATACATTCAATTTTCAATTTATTTTTATTTTTATTATAAGCTATATTACTATAAACTATGACAACTTGACATTTATAATAAAATAATATACAAGATATAATTACCAATACTGGCAATACATCAATTCTTAACTATAATAATATAAAGCCAGATTCCAAAATAAAGGTGATTATTTATTTTATAGCTGTAGCTGATTTGTTATTTAAAATAGAGTGGAGATTGAAATGAATATTAGCATTCGTCGTTTGAACTGTAGAGAAGGTGGTATTTAGGTATACATTTAATTAATCCGCTCAAAATTCAAAAAAGTATAGAAGTATTACTATTTAGTATTTACTATGGATACAACATTAGTTGATTTTTATTTCAAAATAATTTTTGATGTTAATAAATATTTATAGAAGCGGGCATTTTTGGAAATTCAAAGATTCTGCAGCTCTATTATGCATTAAATATTTCATATTTATTTTATAGTCKTATGTTTTAAATTGTGTACCAATTGTCAAGTGACATTATGCTTGATACAAATAAGTACCTATAGGTAGAGAGGCAGGCAAAAATAAAATTAATAATTTTATATACCTTGTGAGTTAAGAGTATAATACTATAATGACTAATACACAGCTGCTATTTTTTGTTTTGCAGTCAAAGTCATGATTGAATATATTAATATGTMGCTACCTATGTGATTTATTTAATCTGTAAGATCTATATCTATATAGAATGTTAATACCTATATTTAAGTAGTTAATTTTTTTTAGGTAGATATCTACCTAATTTGCACGTTTGCTGACCAAATTTATAATTATGATTAGACTGATTAGTGGATACTTACTGATATTACATATTATAAACCGTATTAAATATATTATTCTTTWTTAATAGTTTTTTATTAGTTTATTATGTGAGGTATAGGTACCTACTGCATGTTCAATCAATCGAAACATTACATCATTTATTGATTATTCGGTATAATATTGTCGGTACTCGGTGTGATTTTCGCATAAGCCAGTGCTTCTTAACTTGAGGGTCATGGCTATATTATGACTGAGGGGCCTTAAAATATTTTCGGTTGTTTAGTTATATTATAACCAATCATATGATTAATCATTGTCGATTAAGTCTAATTGTAAATTACTATTATTAAATAATAATAAAATTGTTAGGGGGGGCCTTGACGGTTTTACATTAGATATAGTGGGGGCCTTATAACAAAAAAGGYTGAGAAGCACTGGCATAAGCCATAATACGGGGTATAACATTTAGACGTCAGTAGAATTGCGAGTCTGGTGGCGACTGGTGCAGTACACATATTTAACTAGCTTGACAAAACAATAAGCACTAATCATCCCATCTTTCGTTATGTGCGTTATGGTATAGGTAAAATAATTGGAAAAAGATACACTATGTATAAATTATGTAAGAACATATACCTAATGTACCCAGCCACTCGTATATTATTCTATTATATAATATTATGATTATGATTGAGTAAAATTGTGTTTAGTTTTAAATTTAAATATTTATATTTTATAACACGTACAAACCTATCATTGCGGGCTGTGCCTGTAATAAACATAATAATATAGATRCAAGGTTTTGTCTATCTTGTCTATCGTACATTGTGTTATGTGCTGTAATGGATGCGTCAGTCAATACAAAACCTAAACTTCTTGTACTAAAATAATAAATAATTTTGTAATTTTTCATTTGATCAACTATTTGCATCAAAATTGAATATTTTCATATTTTAGTTTAATATTAAAGAGTGGGATTGAAATATTTACCCCTCCCCCGCTAAAAAAATGTTAGTGTATATAGTATTATATTATGACTTATTAGCACTTCTTAAGTAGAACTATCGTGGTACATATTAAGTAGGCGCATATATAAATGCATCATAAATCTTAAAAAGGGTTTTAACTTTGAAACATTGATTATAGAATCAATGCTTTGAAAGTAAGTCCAACCGATAAATTCTGATTACATCATTCCACTAAGGCTCTAAAGACCATGAAATACATAGGTTTCTGAAATAATTTCTAAAAACCGCTGGGCAGCTAAACTGCATTGTTATGCAGAAGATATTTCAATACATTTTTGCAATAGTGATTAGTTTTATTTATTAATATTATCATATTTGTATTATGGTAGTATAGTATGATAATGATAATATGTACATGTACGTACAGCTCGTATAGCCGCATAGGGGAGTTGGATTTTTATATATTATTTCTATTAAATATACAATAGTTTACCTATAATAAGTACTTAAATATGGTTTGCCAGTTTTAAAAAAATTTCATGGGATGGGTGATATACAAAACCTTTCTCCACATTAATTACGCCACTGATGTTATAACATTTTAAATGCTGCATTCGCCTATTCCAGAATATTTTCTTACTTTCTTAAAAGGATATTTTGTACATTTTTTTATCTATAGAGACATTAAATAGACTGAACGTGACTTTTGGGCAAAGTTTACCACTCGAAAGTCTATCTGTATGCTCTTTAAAAAAAAAAAAAAAATTAAAAATTAAAATAAACATCAATGTTTAACCAATGGATTTGATCATCTTCACTCAGAATTTAAAAATAAATAAAGCGATTTATAAGAGAACGTTATACGGTATAACTTAATACCTGCAGTTTTGTCTCCATCTTAAAATGCATAACATGACAAATTTCACGCCCAGAAGATCACGTTTAGCTCCGTTAGTTTAAAAATTGGATGAATTGATCTCTTTTAAAAGATAAAATTATTATTTGGACAACCTCATGAGATTKTCATTATATTTTAATTTTGAAGCGAGTTATAAAAATTTCAAAATTTTAAATTGTTTGTGTATTTTAAAATACTTATTACTCGTTTCAAAATTAAAATATAGGTAATAAAAATTCAATAAGGTCGTCTAAATAATATTCTTATCTTTAAATTTCATAAGAGGTCAATTAATGTCTCTATTGTTTAAACTAACGGTCAACGRAGCTAAACGAGATCAGCTGTTGAGTGTAAAATTTGCTATATACTATATATACTATATTATATAATATTACACAATTTTAAGACGGTGACAATACATGCAGGTTTAACGTCTTCTCAAGAGTGGCTTTGTAAAAGACATYTATAMATTATAATAAACTAAATTAACTTATTTTAAATTTACTTCCCTTAGTAGACATGGTCGGTTTTCTATTCTACTACATGCAGTATATAATTTATTTAAATAATTTTATTTTGATATATTAAAAATGTAATAGTAATTTTTTGATTATCAATTAAACCTCTCTTCAATACTTTTATTGTAAAAATAATTAATAGGTACCCTATATTTTGTCGTTCTTCAGAGTAGTGTACAGAGTGTCCCGTGAGGATATACCCATTAGCCGTAGAGGGGGACTCGCCGCCCGAATAAAAACCAGTTTTTTGGCATTTTATTTATAAACTAAAAAAATATATTATCATATTGTGGTTAATGAAAGTAAAATGTTGAAAGATCAACATTTTCAGCCCTTGTCTATGTGAGTCTAATAAAAAAACGGATTTATGATATACCTATAGYACCTACCTATTTATCATCTCTGGAGTAATCGCAATGGGTAAATTCTCGCGGGACACCTGTATTCTGAAATCAAGAAATGATGTATACATCACTGCACAGAACAATTATTTCAACTGTAGTTGAAAAAGTGTTATCTTTTTGAAATGATAATATTTTTTTGGTAATTATTTAATTTTCCAAAACGAGCTTCGCATCTACGGTGCCCTGAATTTTTATTGAGCCTTGTGCAGGTGCTCTGATTGCACTTAACACTGCCCTTGCATTTGCAGCGAATGAGTGAGACCACCATATTTTTCTGCATCTCTGCTTGTATAGTTGTGTGAACGATTTAAATATAGTAAAAKAAATATATACAGCACTGGAACACAAAAATAGTAAGTTATCACCGTTGTGTGTAGCCAATTATTGCAAGACGAAATGTTGTAAAAAATGCAAAAATGCAGGGCCGGCTCTAGCTTTTCCAGCTCTCAGTGCAAGTATTATTTCGGCGCCTTTCACCCTGTTTTTAAACATATAAATAGGCAACCGCACGCCCCCTTGATTTTGGCGCCCCTGTGCCGTCGCACACTTCGATCGTATCTAAAGCCGGCCCTGCACAAATGTTATAATTAGACGAAATATTTACTGCTATCTATGGGAATATATATGAACTTATGCAAAGCAATTATTCTGCACAGATATTATAATTATTAATTATATAGAAAATAATATCTGTGTTATTCTGTGAATTTATTTCAACTACGGACTGAAATTGATAGCAGATGTTGTACAGCTGTTTTTCTTATGAAAAGGACAAAGTGATAAGACAAATCCGCGATATGAGTAATTTACGATGTTATCAAATAATATAATATCTATTATTCTTCTTGTTTTTGGACTTAAAGTGGTGAGTAGGTATTACTAGAATTTTTAAACCTTAGTCAAGTGACATTAATCATTTTCTACAATACAGCCAAAGTTATGTTGTCAAAACAGTTATGGAGGTCGTTCGCGGCAAGGAACAAAATCGTTAACGGTTTATTAAAACACAAGTAATGTTGTTACGTTTTTCTAATAAATCAACTTTATGAGCTGTCAATAATTTTAACTCTGGTTTTTAGCGAAAAGAAAACTCAATCATCGTCGATAGTTACTCGAAATGCATCAAATAAAAATTCTAATTTTGATGCAGAGTTAGATAAGCCCGTGAAATATACAACAAGTCCAGCGCACAATTGGAAGGCGCAATATTCTCGTATAGGAAGCAAAGCTGAATTCGGTCCATGGTATGAAGCCCACGTTGTCAGTGCTAGCTTAATTATATTTATGGTATATTTTTTTATAATACGCGAAGAAAACGATCTCGATTTATTGCTAGATAAACCGTTATCAGAGACATTAAAAGGGGAATAATAATTTTGTTATTTTAGAACTTCATTAGGTACCTATGAATATATTTTAAATATACCAATAAGCAATCATATGTACATTTGTTTTGATTTTCAGTAGTACATTTATAAATGTGATAGGTTCATACTAAATACAAATTATGTGATTATAAATAATATTATGTATAATTTGTATCTGTAAGCTTAAAATATCAATTGATGAATGGATCTATCTGGAATAAAATATTATGATACTTAATTACTTTGTATTTTTAATTAAACATGATTTAACAAAGAACTAATAAGATTATAAATAAGAATATTTGAAATGTTTTAAACATTTAAATTTTAAGTATTAAGATCCTACAGAGTGCACACTAAATAGTTAGCCAGTCATGGAAGGCCGTTGACAACTATGTGAATTTTTTTTGTAGGTGTACTCAATTTGATGAACATTTGATRTTTGATGTTATTGTATTGATCTGTATAATAATAATAAAACTGTTATATGTATGTTCTACATACTAAATTAACAATTAACATTTTATTTCTAACTATAAATTATAATTCATCTTATAGATTATATTATACTTGGTATGGAAGTGTGACTAATGACTACTAGTTACTATTGTAATATTATTAATCAAAATATTGTATATTTTTCATATTATATTTAGATAGTAATTTTTATTGAGTGACAATTGCAAAGATTATTTTACGTGTTTAATTTATGCATTTGGTGTGAGCTTGAGTATTTAAAAAAAATGTTAACTTATTTACAGTTGCTGCTCCTGAATGATGTTGGGTATTTGAAATCGTTAGAACTGAACTAAAGTTTAAACATGAATATAAACAGTGGCAGCATTAAATTGTGGAGGCTTTGGGCATAATGTATATTTTAATTATTTTACTACCACCCCGAACATGCAGCAGTGGCCAAAGGGTTTTCAAACATGAAGCAATTGCTTCAAATAATCTTATGTTTCGTCGCCCCTGAATACTTCTAATATTATTTATAACTATCCTGCTGATAGTTTTTGTGCATACGCTTATGGTTAAAACCTTTTATTAATTACTTAAATATTACTTTTGTTTTTTTATCACCAAAGTTAGTATATAAACATTAAGTATACAATTTACAAATTAATGATTATTGTACATTCTCATGAAAAAAAAAACTTATAGTTTGAATATTTATCATAAAGATTTTATCTTTAATGGTACACTATTGATCTGAACTTCTGATATCCAAACTTAAATTATCATCTATAAATCTAAATATAACATTATGAATAAATAGGACAATCGAACAAGTTTTATATTATTAGAATAAAATATTAGATTGTATACAACTACATAATAACAAAACAATTAATAAATCACTGAAGCCTGAAGCATTGGATAAATAATATATTCATCAGTCTTCACAAAATACTCAAGAATACTCAAAATACCCCCCTGAAATTTTTTAATTTTACAAAAAAATCTTATTTACCACCATTTCAATACACAGAGTCAATAAATTKTTGATAATTTTTAATAGATATAAATTAAAATGTTAATTTGTTATTAGTTATAATTAGTTATAAATTATTATACAAAAACTGTTAAGCAAATTATTTAAATAATTGTGTATTAGTATTTAAATTATTTACTCATTTAAAACCCTAACCGAACTAAAATCCTGCATATACTACTGTTTGCAATAATAACTTATACTGTTAAAGTATTTGACTATCGAATTATAATACTAGATGGGTAATACATTTAGTAATTATATATTCAGCCTTGTCAACTCGAGTTATTTTAGTTCTTTCTAACTTTATTTATTTTAGTATTTTATACATTAGTGCTTTTTAAGTTTTAATTTATTATAAATATTTTATGTATCAGATGGTAACATGGTGTTGGATGGTATATATAATATTGTAAATAACAATTACATTTACAAGAAATAATAAACTGATTTGTTAATACCTATTGTCCTAAATAATCCAATTAAAAAAAAATATAAATGTTTCTAAAAATAAATAAATAAAATCCTTATTATTGTGAACAGCAGGTCTATCCATGGTAACATTTATTAAGTGATAATAATAACAATAATGTATTGAATTTATATTTAATTAATGAAAATAGTAATGAGGTTATAAAGTTTGTTTTCAGAGGGAAAACATGGATTTCCATAAAACAATGATTTAGGTACCATGTAGTCCATGATTTTATTTATGATCATGATGTATTATAAGTACTGATTACAACAGCTCTGACTGTGTTTTTTCAAYAAAAATATATTTATCACTGATTATAACGGCAAATAAATGTATAGTGCAGTGTTAGTTGTTATGTCAGTGTCAATTCTACAGTCCGTGAGAATACTTTCCGGGATTATACATGCATCCATAATTTAATTTAAATACTAAAAATAATAGAGTGAAATGGATTCATTGTATGATTTCCTATGTTATGCATTAGTAAGACGGATAGAATACTTGATGATGGTTTAATTTCTCATATCAGTCTAGTGCAGGGGCGGGTTTTATCACTCACCAAGGGGGGGGGCTAATAGAGGTTCAAAAATTTAGTTAGTTGTTTTTTAAGTCTATATAAAATTTAAAATTACAGATTATATTTTTGAGTCCCTCGACCCTCATAAGAAAGTCATTGTTTTTTCACAATAGTGACAAATTTTAAATAGTTACATTATTGGTATCAATTTTAATCTGAAACCGTTTAAAAAATATAGATTTACAAATATAATAAACAACAAAAATTAGCTATTTATTTATAAAATATATATATTACATTATTAATGCTATATTTCTTTTTTTAACTTTTGAAAACCGTTCAATGATGTTATCTGTTGATACTTCTTTTTCCTTATGAACATGAAATATATCATAATACTTGGCTTTGTAAAATAGTTAGATTAGTCCCAAGGGGTGGGGGGCTATTGCCCCCTTAACCACCCCCTTAAACCCGTGCCTGGTCTAGTGAAACATTTTTAATAACAGTCCGAGAATATACTTGCTGGGTTTCTACGGTCCATGACATACGGTCCGCCAATTTATATTCCAGAATTCTACAGTCCGTGAGAATACTTTCCGGGATTATACATGCGTCCTAAATTATTATCAAATTTGAAGGTTCTATCACAGAATGTATGAAATATATATATATAAATAATTATATATTTCATATATTCTGTGGTTCTATATCCTAGAGCACTTTGTGGATGATTTGCTGAAATTTGATTTTGAAGCAAATTATATGCATTTTTAAGTTTAAGAACTAAATCTAATAGAATAATAGACAATACTACACCAGTAATTATCTAATTAATTTATTAAAATAATAAAATATAATTATATCAGCAAATTATTTACATTAAAAAGATGACTTCTATTCTTTAGTTTTTAAAATTGGTTTACAGTTTTTGTAAATTAATTAAAAAAGCCTTTTTTTCCGATTATTTTTAATGGTTTTTAAATTTTGTTTAATTATCTGATATCTGGTAAGGAATTAGTCTAGTATGAGAGAACATTAAATCAAACTTTGGTGTATAACTTGTATCGTTAAACATAATATTATGTCAAAAACATGAGACCAAACTTTTATAAAAATAAAAAATGTTGGAAAGAAAACTTTTAAAGCTTATCTTAATATGCACAAAAATATTTTATATCATTTTTAAGTTCAACTCATTTTTCAAACGACAAAAGTTTCCTTTTCCAGAAGTTAAAAAAAGTTACATTTTTGGTGGTAGGATCTTTATCAACATTTTGTGTTTTTCAATTGTTTAGGWCTATCTGGTTGAGGACATGAACTAAGATAATATTATAATATATCTTAGTTCATGGTTGTGGAGAATCATAATTTTCGAACTATATAMAAATGTGTACTTAGATAATTGTTATCAGTTCTCCATGATATTACTTTATTTTGCACGGGATCACATTTCCGGATTAATACTAAGTTCTAAGTGGCTGACATTTTGTTAATGAATATGTGTCTGCTGCCTATCAGATTGGTTTGAATCTGACTTTGTAGTCTATCTGTTGAGTGACGTAACCAAGCAGTTACAGATTTTTGTACAATATCATCTGTATAATTTGGGTAACAGTTTTTTCCAACATCTAAAAAAATTTAAAGTTTCAGTCAAGTTATTTTAGAATTTTTTACTAATTTAATAACAATACATACCACATATTACTTGAAACAGTTTAAGTTTGATCAAAGCCATCTTTGGATTAGAACATTTTTTAAAAGCTTTTCCAGTAAAAGAGATTTGTGTGGATAGCTCATTAGAAAATAATTTCTGTAAGCAAGTCTTTATAAAATTTGAAATGTCGTTTTGATTCGTTTAATCTATAAAATAAAGTAGATTTGTTGGACAAGGAAAGATAAAATGCATAACTTTTAATTCCAATATATTCCATAACATATATAGATATTATATTATAGATTCCATAATATAAAGGTTTTACTGTATATCCTAATTTTCTTATGCATGTTACTATATTAAATACGTACAAAATTAATTTTGAAATCATTATTTAGAAGCATTTCTTCAACTTCCAAAACTTTTTTTTTACCAGGCAATGGAAGTATTAAGAAAACTGCATGGAAAACTGTTCTGGTTAATTTTCACAGCAAAAATTTATAGACATGATATTATTTTCAAAATATTTTCATTTTATTTTATCGAAAAGATAGTTAAAAAATAATTTTAAAACAATAGTGCTTTAATTTCAATTTTTGTTGAACAAATATTTCCTTGGCCTATAAACGTTTTTCATATATGCCTAATTAATTTAAATTAAAGCAAATGTATTACTATGATAGGTTACAAAATGGTTGAATGATGAAGTAGGTACCTAACCGACACTAAAACCTGTGTGTAACAGTTAGCAGAATTCAGAAGCTAGTTTCAGGGGTTTAGGTATTTACATTTTTTTCTTTCTAATATTAGCAAAATTTGAATTATTTCATACATCTAGTACATTGATTGGTGTATCCAGTAGGTAATTATTCAGTATTTTTAATTAAAATATAATTATTTATATCTATATCTATGTATATTCTATACCATTTA